TTTCATAAAAGTAAATCAGAAGGGAATTTATAGTAAATAAGCAGGCAAATTTGCCTGCGAACCTCTACAGTTTAAGGAATCCAATTTAATTTATTTTACTGTCAATCATCCAACTTTAAAAGAATATTTTTAAAAAAGAATGCTTTTTAAGGCGAACCAATTACTTGAATTGTGATGATATAGTTTAAGAGATATGAAAGAGGGTAATTTCAATTACAGTTATACAAAAATTTTTTATTATAATTACACGATAATAGGAGGAAACATTTATAATTTTTTTTTTTTTTTAAATTTTAAAAAAAAAGGCAAAAAATTATAACAGGTAAAAAAAAAAAAAAAAGATGAGGATGATGCAATTAAGGGATAATTAAATGAAATTTATTAATTTAACTTAATCTCGCAAAAATAAACTCTTGTCACTATTGCCAGTATTTTTTATCATTCTTACTGGTTTCTTACTTAACCAAGAATTTCTCGCATCAAAACTTTCTTCATCATCAACCATATATTCATTTTCTTCTTCAAAATCCGAACTTAATAAAGTGACTTGATACCTTTGATCCATCGTTGAAGACATAGTCGCATTTCCATCCAAAGTTATTGAATTATTATGTTTAATATGTTTACTGTTATCGGTAACCATAGATGGATATGAGGCATGTGAACTATATAATGCGGTTGAACTTTCAGTTGCTTTACTCTGTTGAGCAAAGTTAGTTAATACAGAGCTGCGACAACTTATGTTTGCAATTTCAATACTTGGTGAAATTACCGGGGAAGGTTTTGGTTCAAAAGGTAATGCAAGATTATTCCGAAAATTATTGACATTACCATTATTTTGAGGTGATTTTTTATTCACTATTGTATCATAAAGGAATACTATTTGCCCTATAAAAGTGCAAACCGGTGCCGTGAAATTCCAAGAAACGAAATACGCAAGTCTGGTTGGTTCACTGCCTCTTACCATTAATTTTTGTTTGAAAATGATACCAACAAGAATTCCTTCGATGCTAGTGATAAAAAATAATAAGAAAACGGCAAATACTATCCAGGATAGATTGTGAGATGCGCTATTTAATTTTCTTATCTTCTCATCAACGTCAGAACTCATACTTTGCCTTCTATTTAAGATGCTAACGTACTCCCTTAACATACATATTAATTTATAATAAACGTATAATAATGTGATATCATATTGAACCGTCCATAAACTCCACACAAATGTGTGAGCCACGAATAAATCATTGGCTATAGTTTGATTATTTATATCCGCAAAATATCCGGTGATGGCCGATAAGGGCATCGTCGTCAAGACAGGTCCCAACATTAAATACATCGCAAGTCCATCTATAAAATCTTTACTTGGATTCCATTGAAGTCTTAAATAATATGAGGTGGGTTTAATTATTGGCGTGGAATAGATGATACTTATGGGATATAATGTCGCACATGCAAACCCGACTAATTTTGGCACATAAACAACTATTTCCGCCACCATTACATTCGGAAATGTATCCGTAAGTAAAAATATTGACACTATCATTTGACTCAAATTAAATAATCCGACAGCGATGTGAAACGAATCTTGTGGGCGTGGACGAATCTTTCCTAGTTACGGAGAGATTTATAATGTTAATTTGATTTAAAAAAAAACCGAGATTTTTTTTAAAAAATTTCAAAACATTCACCTCTTTCTCTTGTCGCAGGAAAAAAAACGGATTGTCCTTTTACTTTGACTCGATAGTAAAGAAATGATATCGATATTACCACGATCATTAACGTAAAGGGAATTAACCCTCCAATTGCGGCTTTATATAATTGTTCATCCGGACATCCAGATAAATTGATTCTAAAATCACATATACATTTGTGTTTATTTATTCGGTCGCATAACCTTGCAAAATCGTTGTATTTTAAATTTACCATTTTTTCATAAAAGAAGGAAAATGAAGGAAATAAATAAATAAATAAATAAATATAATTAATTAATTAATTATATTTATTTATTTATTTATTTACACCGTTATGATGTAGAAAAATGATAATATGTTCGAATGTGTAAAGTAATAGTATTCTTTCAAAGAAATTAATTGATTACAAACGATTCAGACAAATTCTTTTTTTTTTTTTTTTCATTACAGTTATTTTCGAAAAAAAAACAAAAAACAAAAAAAAAACGCACATTTTGAACCTTTATAGATTAATGATCTATCGGGGATTTATACCTAAAAGAGTTCAATTTTCGTTTTATAAAATTTTCAAATTTGAAACACGTGAGCATCATCAAAAATGCTTATTTTATAATGTATTTAAAAAGAAATTAAAATGATAAAATTTCTCCGATCATTTAGCATGGGTCACATAAAATTTAATGAATTACCAATAAAAAATTTTTCTCTTATGTCATTTTACACCATAATCTCTCTATTTATTGTAAAAGCATATATAAATCAAAAAGATTTTACTTAAATAAAGAAAAACCACGCTTTTAAACAATTGCAGATAAACTTAAAAGACATATCAAAAAGTAATTAAAAAATGAAGGGGATAACCTTAATTAAGCTGTTACCGATCTCACGTTGTGAATATTACGCTTATCACTAAATAAATTCCTACAGATCACCTTTAACCGCTTTTTATCTTTAGAGTAAGGAGGTTTTTTTTTTATATAACGGATCATTTTATGAATTTTAGATTCTTTATTTGGGGTATTACTTTGAGGTAGATTCTTGATTTTTACGATTTCATTTTTAATCTCGCAAGATTTACTACTATCCTTCTCTTCGTGTTGTTGCTTAATATGATTGGAATTAAATAAAATTGATTCATTGTTAAGTGTTGTTGTTTCGGATGATTCACTGTCAAACGTACCAAATTGTTTAATTTGACTTTGACTGATTTTTTTAAGTGCGGTTGTTTGGGTTTCATCGAATGCATAATCAAAGCCGGAAGTCCCGTTTGTGTTAGTTTCGTTATCATTGCTATCATTTTTGTTTTTAGGTGAAATCATTTTCTCGGAATTTATGGTGCACGATTTATGGGAATGGGATTCCTTTTCATCATCGGATACGCTTGTGATTATAATCTTTGGTATATTTCTCGGTCTTTTATGTCTTTTACTTTTTTTATGTGATTTATTATTATCTTTGGAAGAGTGATGATGTGATAGATTTATTTCTGATGATCCTTCGTTATGGATGTCATGATTTTGTCCTTGTACTTCGCCTTCGAATAGAGAAGCGGAAATTACAATTTTAGGTATATCACCATGAAACATAATTTGTTATGTAATTTTAAAAAAAAAATTTTAGATGAAAATCGAATCATTATATATAAAAAATACCATTATTCATTATTTCACTCAATTTGGAAATCCTTTCGTTTTCTACATTTTTATTCACATGATAAAAATCTTTTAATTTCCAATGGAAGGTAGATTATCTTTTTTAAAATTCTTTCAAACATGGAATTCTTTATTTTTAATCGTTGCCATGCATATAAAAGTAAAACTCTATAAGTTCAAAAAAAATGTCTATTGTTTAGGGATCGATCCTAAACGTCTTTTTTTTTTTGCCAGCAAAAGGATAATGTGGAAAAAATAAAAATTAAAAATTACTTGATATGAATGCTATTGTATGCACGGAAACAGTAACATGAGCTTCTCTCCGACCGGCCGACGAATGCTTTTTATTGGTTTCACGACAATTAACTTTGCATGAATTTGTGTTATTTTTAGGATTTATAAAAATAGCATTATTATATTATATACATTATTATTTTGTAGTTATTTTTATTTACTTGACAGAATTTCTAAAAATTTAACAAAGTTTTCGAGATCGATTTGGAAGTGTTAGATAAGAAGCAACGAACATTCCTTTTCTATCAAAAACAATGCCGGAGATAAGGGGATTTGAAATCAAAGAAATTGTGCTTTTTCTACCATTATATTCATGTCAATGAGATAAAGAAAAAAGGCTCAAGATAATCTCGGGCAACCATTTCATCTTCGATCTGAAACGCCGACGATTTCCAATTAACCATCTTTTAGATCCTTACTACTGTATGTTCATCATCGCTAATGACTAGTTGCGCAATGATGAAATAAAAAATACATTTATACGATTCTTTTCATTTTTTAACATTATTAACGCGTAATAAAATGATGTGACTAAATGTTTTAGTATAAAAATTTTAAATTTTACGGTCTGAATAAAATGTAATCTTTATTTACTCTACATTATACAAAGCCAATTCTAATTTAACGCAGCATATATTTTTTTTTTTTTTGGAATATTCCAAAATGGAAAATAATTTATTGCTGTAGTTTATTTTATTCATCAGTAAAAAATCACATACTTAAGCCCAAATCTCAATGAATTTGTCTTCAAAATGTTTCTGAATCATCTCGAATCCTTTAAGAACGAGTTCTTCTTCCTCTCTCAAATTGCTATCTAACACTAAATTTTTGGTACTTCTTAATTGTAAGCAAACAATTATTGACGTAAGAACCAAATTAAAATTGTTTAAAACCTATAAAAAAAAGAAATTAAACGGTCATTACAAAATATGAAAATTAATATAAATTATATTGGTTTTCTTTATTTACCTGCCAAACATCGCTGCGACTTATTCCATTTGCTTTAACAAGAGCAACTTCCTGACCATGAGAAAAAAAATCGATTATATACGCATTAAGATTTTCTTTGTTATTAACATAAGGTAAGCTATGAAGATCCAAATATATTTTACTGTGAATATGACTTGTTAAATCCTCTAAATCTTGGAAAATATCACCAAGTGAACTACACATGGAAATAAAAGGAGATCGAGCAGTAAATGAAATGGCCGAAGATTCAAGTGTAGAAATCAAAGGATCTTCCTTTAAAGCTTGATCCATGGATTTTGGAGGAATTTTGATAGACGATAAAGGTAAACTATTATTAGGTCCCAATTTAGTAGCATTTTGTTTCGCGAAATTGACTACATATTCGGTATACATATTCAAGACGCGTTTGTTATAATCTTCTAAAACGTCACTAACACTTTCCGGTAAGGGATCTAGGATGACTTTAGAAGGATATTCTGTATTTTGATACAAACCTCCCGAAATCTTACGTAATTTAACTCTATTAAATAAATGAGAAAGAATCAAGATCAATTCATTCATTACTTTTTCATTTGATGCTTTTAATCCTTTACAAATTTTGTGAAATATTCCATGTTTAAATAATGCTGCGAATACGAAATTACTCGGTTCCGTATAATATAGATATGAAACCATGTCTGATAAATTTATCATATTGCCTCTCCTATCTAAAAGACTTTCGCGCATCAGGTATTCTATGGAAAACCTTAGGTGATATTTAACTTGTTCAGATAAATATTGATTACCATAAGAAAAAAGAGATTCGCAAAATAGTCCCTTGACAATATTTTTCGCATAATTATCATCGGAACTTTTAACCTTGCATTGATTAATAAGATTAAAAGAACGCAACATAAGTGTCGTGGACAAAGGAAAATGACCCGAAAGATTCGGTAATCCTGACATTAGAAGTCTACTAATCTTTGTAATATTTATGCCAAAAAATATCACGTGACCACGAAGGTCGAAACCTCGACGCCCAGCACGACCGCTCATTTGTCTATATTGTAAAGCACCCAAAAACACCGAATCCCCAACGAATATAACAGTTTTGCATGGCATATTTATACCAAGAGCCAAAGTACCAGTCGCGATGACGACTCGTAACTGACGTCGTCTGAAGAGAATTTCAACTGCGCTTAAATATTTTCTAGGCAGGCCTGCATGATGAACTCCAATCCCTCTTTTTAGTGCTTCGATTAATAACGGTTCCTTCATCTTGAGTGTTGGGCCTAATATCTCTTCAAACTCATCCGAAGGAACTCGATCCCTATCTCTAACAAAAGTGAAGTCGGGATCATGTGCTTCCCAATCAAAAAATTTTGGCATGGGTTCCTCTGATCCTGGAGGATCTTCGTCCTTGGTAGATGTTTTAGCAGGTTTTGAATCGCGTTTTCTCTTTAAATCTTTTTCAAACTTCTCTTTCTGCGCTATTGCAGCTTTCTTTTTGGATTGATATTCTTGATCATCGGCTCTTTTCTTTTGCTCTGCCGAATGTAACTGTTCATAGATAAGAAGCGCAAGTTCAACACATCCTTTCCTATCAAAATGAAACAAGATGGCAGGAAGTTTATCCTGTGCTGATAATTCACATAATAATGGAACCATCGCTTCTTTGTAAAATTCATCTCCATAAACATGTAATCCTTCAGCTCCTGATTCTAAATCTGCAAATCCCTTTTTAATACCAGTTCCCAACTCTTCAATAGTTGACTTTGTCATTTCATTTAATGAATCATCTTTCGAGAATTCTTCAAACGCTTGCTTAAGTTCTTGTTCGTATTTATCAGCATCATCCTTAACAATATAACCAATATCTTTAAAATAAACATCAGGATCTAATTCAACAAGTCTACGAGGCGGATTATCGCCCGAAAATTTTTTCATCTCATCCCAGAGTTGAACACATTGAGGTGGGATAAGTTTCATGTCACCAGGTATCCCATTTTCTTTCAAAATGACGGTTGACAGAGAAAACATTGGATTAATCGGGACTATACTACTGGTTCGTCGTTGACTTTCTTTTGGGTTTATTGTAGTCTCAAGAAGCGAAGGCAACGGAAATTTTGGTAAATATACATATTGTTGCAAGTCCGAAAACCTTTTGGTTGTTTTGATTAGCCTCATTGAACCCCTGGATTTAGATAACCAATCACGGAATGTTTCAGGATTCCCAATCGTAGCTGAAAGGGCTAAAATAGGAATAGACTTGCTCATTAACAGTAAACGATCATAAAATTCTCCCTCTTCAAATCCGATCATATGAACCTTTTGTGATAAT